TCTTTTCCCTCGTGAAGAACCCAAATTTTATGGTTGTATAAACTATATGTTACCGTAACTAGTAAATGGTTTTTTGGGGGGATATTGCATAGCTAATCACTTATTCCCTAATGTATTTCTGTCAGTGATGTCAGAAACATTTTGATAGTTTCAAATTCAAAATGAAGTGACGAATTAAGTTTCGTCCCTCGTTTTTATTATGAGAGTAATGTTAACATCTCGTCAGTTTAGCATTTGTTTGGTGGAAAGTCTGCTCAAGATTTTGTCGTTTGCCTGTGCATTTCTGAATATCTGTAGAATGGACTTGCTTAATATTCTCACATATACTGGCTTTAGGATTATTCATCCATCATCGTCAAACTAATTTTAAAGCTAATTATACGAGAACTAGGGAAGAAATATAGCTGAATTTGGTTTTGAGCTGTACAAAGTATGAAGACCTGGTTCCAAATAAAGGCAGCATTTGGTGCATATTATTTAAAACCCAAAACCGAATGGATATGCCCACGCTGAAAGCTACAATGGTTTAGAAAGAGCACCGACAGAGCCATAATTGTCAGAAGAAGCAGAGGTTGACCTGTGTGAAAGTAAAGAAGATATATCATGTAGACACACACGACAGGGCGACTGGCATAAAGTCGAGAATATGTTTGCTAGGCAAAGACCTACCACATAACAATACTGCCTCATTCTCTACACATGCAAGGTTCTAGAGCGCCCTCTGTTCTCTTCTAACGGCAATAATTTATGCACATCTATTTCGTAGTAATATTGTCATAAATCTTTTCTATTTGCAGATAATGGATTTGAGAAGACTGTTCTCATATTTACTCAGACTTTTTATTATAGGACGTAAGTCAATATTTTATTTACTAATAGCTCAGAAAAACACGATAACGTGTGTGTGTATTTATTTAGTATTGTGTGTGTGTGTGTGATATTAAGCGTGCACGTGTGTATGTTAAAATTTGCTTTTAAAATTACAAAACGTTTTTTTTTTTTTTTTTGAATGAGTTTCAAAGCGTTAAGTTTGTATGGATATTATCGGGAAATAAAGGTAGCGAATAGAGCAAGAGAGTAACGGCAACAAGTAACCATATAATGTCTAGTGCTATATAACCGGCTCTGAGATTGCTACCCAACACCAAGCCCCTCAAAGATCCACATGCTGGAAGCTAATTTGCAGAGGTATTCATAATGCAATGTGCTTTGCTAGGGGTTTGATGCAACTCGTCACATTGCTATAATGACGTTCTTAGGTACACACAGTTGCTAAGAATATAGCAGACGACGAACGTATAGTTATTGATCTTTGTTTGCTGTTACAACAATCGCATTGTCCATGCGCTCCTTGCGTTCTCGTGGTCGCTACGCATGGCTGATTCCTGATGACTTTGACAACTGTCTCACATGGTGATTCTCTCTGCCATTACCTTTCGGATCACACATCTGTATCATACTAACTTATTGTACCTGGTACTCGTACACAGTTAAAACTTGCAATCAGGAAACATTCATTTCAGCTGTCGAACATAATACACGTGGTCAGACGTTCTGCATTCGACCTCACACATCCAGGTCCGAACTTCAACTGCCTTCCTACCCTCTCTGGGTTCACGTCTTCCGTTCTGCTCTCACGCTTTCCTCGTATATCTCATTCCCTCACCACAGAATACTAGAGACCTGCTTATCTCGCTGTCCTCTTGTTTCACTGGTCCTCTGACCTTGTCTCGACCCCCCCCCCCCCCCCCCCCATCGGGAACTCTCTGGGATTTACCCGAGAATTCAAATTACAATAGCTTTCAGCTGCATGTGCTGAAATTACGGTTGTTTACAGAAGCATTCTCCTCAATTCCATAAATAGAAGCGACAAATCACAATAAAGTATTTATTCTTAGAGCACGCTCTCAAAACCAGTGATTGAATTTATTTGTGGTAGTAGTTAAATGTTGGGCCATGACTGTTGTCGACATTCATTCATTTATTCATTCATTCGTTATCAAGTTGTGCCATTATAGATCACATTGTTCTGCCAGGTATTTCTCCATTCCCTTCTAATCCGCTGTAGAAATGTTGACATGGAATTTGAGCGATTTATGTTCTACATCTGTGTGGCTGTAGAACTGCATAAATAAAAAAAGTTCACAGTAAGAATATTTTGTGCAATAAATTTGTTTCCTTGAATAATTCAAGTGGGTTTGTAGAGGTCCTGGGAGATTATCAACATCGAAGGGAAAACAGGCGGGCTTGTAATCAGGTTGCCACCGGTACTATTAGTATGTCAACTCTTCGTTGGTTACTAAAGAGGAGACTGAGCCCGTGTGGAAATGTTCCGAGTGTAGTGATGCCAATTCCTCATTCATTCATTTGGTCATTCATTTATTTATGCAAGATGGCTTGTAGAAGTTACAACAAACATTGCCATGGGGAAAAGGTGCCCATTAGCAAAATACAAAAGATACACACCAGTAAGAAGATATAAACTGCAATGAGAACAAGAGTGTTAAAGAGTGCTATACAGAACTTGTGTTGTTATTTGCATGTGGGACAATGACAGTTAGCAAACAAGTTTGGGGGAAAAGGGGGGGGGGGGCATTTACTCAAGGCGGAAATGTGGTTTTTGAGAAGAATAAAAAGAATATCATGGAGACACAAACCAAGAAACTTTAGATAATATGATAACCAAGAGAAGATGGAAATGGCTTGGCCACGTTATGAGAATGAATCCTGATATACCTGCCAAAACAGCTCTCACATGGACACCAGGGGGAAAGAGAAAACAGGGAGGCCCAAAAACAACATGGAGACGAACGATGGAAAGTGACATGAGATTGGCATCTTTGACATGGAAAATTGCACTGAAGATTGCATAGGACAGGAAAGCATTAAAAGTCCTCTCTGAAGCCTCATGTGCCACTAGGCACAACGAGAACTGATGAGAGAGAGATAGATAGATAGATAGAGAGAGAGAGAGAAAGAGAGAGAGAGAGAGAGAGAGAGAGAGAGAGAGAAAGACAGACAGAGAGAGAACGAGACAGTTCTCATCGAGACAGATGGAAACCGTAAACTAGTTAGAAAGTGAAAGCAAGGCCGTGCCTATTATCCGGATATGCAATATATTTAAAAAATGGTCACGTTCAACCAGCAACCACTGTAGGGCAGCTTTTGGTTATAATTGTGATTAGGTTATGTGCGCCATATAAAATGACTTAGCATTGCTCACCGCCAAGTATCACTGAAAGGCTCTCCTGCAGTGTTGATGTGATCATTAGAGACTGACCCAAATACTGTCCCGACCGAAAACGAACTCTTACAACGGCCAGGCAATGGGCGACCCAATCGCCGATGATACCCGAAGTTTCACGACTGTAGTTTTATAAGATTTTATAAGATTAACATTAGATGCAGTAAAGCAAACCAAGTATTGGGACAGCTAGCTCCCCTCTTACAGCATAAGACAATCCAATCAGCACAAAGAGACATCTTATTCAAAGCATATTTATTCCAACTCTGTGCTACCAGTGCCAGACATGGTCACTCACAACAGACCATAAAAGAAAATTAGTAACCACGGAAATGAGATGTCTGAGAAGGGCTGTAGGAGTGACCATAAGAGATAAGATCAGGAATGAGATCATAAGAGAAAAAGTCGGCACAGAACCAATTCTGGATTACATACGAAGACTGCAAGTGAAATGATTTGCCCACTTAGAGAGAATGCCTTGTGACACCATACCATACAAAGCATACATGGAAAGAGAAGAAGGACGTAGAGCACGAGGTAGACCAAGAACAAGATGAAAGGATAACATCAGAGAAACTCTACAACAGCACGATGTACCTATGGTCGAGGCGGCCAGAAGAGCTAGAAACAGAACCTTATATCTCCCTCGACACCCACAGCGGTAGAAGAGGAAGTGAAGAAGATGAAGAAGAAGAAGAAGAAGAAGAAGAAGAAGAAGAAGAAGAAGAAGAAGAAGAAGAAGAAGAAGAAGAAGAAGAAAGAAGAAGAAGAAGAAGAAGAAGAAGAAGAAGAAGAAGAAGAAGAAAGAAGAAGAAGAAGAAGAAGAAGAAGAAGAAGAAGAAGAGAAGAAGAAGAAGAAGAAGAAGAAGAAGAAGAAGAAGAAGAAGAAGAAGAAGAAGAAGAAGAAGAAGAAGAAGAAGAAGAAGAAGAAGAAGAAGAAGAAGAAGAAGAAGAAGAAGAAGAAGAAGAAGAAGAAGAAGAAGAAGAAGAAGAAGAAGAAGAAGAAGAAGAAGAAGAAGAGAAGAAGAAGAAGAAGAAGAAGAAGAAGAAGAAGAAGAAGAAGAAGAAGAAGAAGAAGAAGAAGAAGAAGAAGAAGAAGAAGAAGTTTTATAAGAAGTACGAGAACAACGTGGACAGCTTAAAAAATCAAAAAACATAAAGAACATGTCTCTATTTTTTGATGAACTAAAGAGAATCGCACTTGAGTGGACCAATCCGGTTGTCGTGTGCAAACGTCATAGTAAAGGAGAAAAACTTTATTTTTTTGGTGCAGAAGACCAAGAGAGAGAATGTCAGCCAGTCTGGCCTCATGCCTTGGCCGAAAGTCTTTTTTTTTTTTTTTCAAACTGACTGGGAGTACACAAAATAAAAGCTTGTAAGTTGACAAATATCACACCACAAGTGCTTGAAAATCTGGACAGCAGGAGTGCCTCTGGGTGGAGAGTTGTACTCATGGTACGATAAATTGGCCTCTTTAGGGTAGGTAAGTAATTGTACCCCACCAGGAAATTGCATAAGCGATAAACACCCGGTGACATAAAGTGCTACCATACGCATGAGAATCATCCGTGGAGAAGTCGCGGATACCCCGTTCAGCCGCTAGGTCCTATTTCAGGCCCGGCTATCTTTAGGGCCCCCGGCAAAAGCCAGGGTTGAGCTTCAAAATAGCTAAAAATTGCATCCCACAAGGGCATGAAGGGTCACTTTAAGTTGTTTTATCCCATGTTTAATGAATGTATTGTTTATTATACTTCAGGTTCCTGGAGTTACATGCGCGCATGCTACTACACCAACTGGTCTCAGTTTGCTTCCAATTACCAGTTCTTCCCAGCGCGTATACCCCCGCTGCTGTGTACTCACATCATATTTGCTTACGCCGACATTAGAGCTACCAACATCACTCCAAACGAGTTTAATGATGTCATCATGTAAGTAGAATTGTTTCTCCTACACATTTATGTTATCGTTCACAAATGAGTGCGTATAATCACTCATATGTTTTTGAGAATGTGTTATTGCGAGCATGGCTAGGTAGGTAAGTTGTACCCCACCAGAACATCACACAAGCGATAAACACCCGGTGACACAAGGTGCCACCATGCGGATGAGGATCACCCGTGGAGATGTCCCGGAAACCCCGTTCAGCCGTTAGGCCATATATCAGGCCCGGCTTTATTCATGGCCCCCCGGCAAAAGCCAGGCCGGGGTTTCAAAATAACTAACAATAAAATCCCACGAGCAGGGCTGCTAATAGGATTTTTTTGAAAAACCCAGCTAAGCTGAACATAAACCCAAGAAATAAAAAAGCACACACAAAAAAAAAACCAAGATTGTTAAAAAGTACAAATTTGATAGTTACGAAACAAAACATTTACCTACTGTTTTATAAACATACATAAAAAAAAAAAAAAATACTAGATATCAAAAATTTGAACCTGAGGCATCAGATAAAAACCAAGATCTGGGGGTAAAAACCTAGCATTGGCAACTCTGCCCACAAGGAAAAAGTATGAGTGGATATCAGTGTACAGTCGACTGACTTTCTACCCCTCCACACAAGCGACAAACACCCGATGACACAAAGTGCCACCATGTGGATGAGGATCACCGTGGAGAGGTCCCAGAAACCGCGTTTAGACAATTGGCCATATTTATGGCCTGCCTATATTGCGGCCCCCGGCAAAAGCCAGGATGGGGCCTCAAATAACAAAACATTTCATCCTAAAAATGACGAAAGAAAGTAATTGCATTATCAGTGTACAGAGGCAAGGTAGCGGTTAGTAGTTTAAGCTTTTATCAACGTTTTGAAACTTAAAAAATTAATAAAAGCAGGATCTATTTCCTCTTATCAAAATTATTTCGCAATTAATTCACTAAACTGGTTCAATTATTATTTTTTTTTAAATTGTATTTTGAAGGAGTTAATTTAAAAAAAAAAAAAATCATCAAAAGCGCAAACTAATTCTGCCAATTGCTTATGAACAGGTACACACGTCTCAACAGACTCAAGCGAGACAACCCATCTCTACAGATCATTTTGGCTGTTGGAGGCTGGGCAGCCGGGGGCGAGAGGTTCAGTAGGCTTGTGTCTCGCGAGGCTTCCATGAATCAGTTTACCACCAACCTCATCAACTACACCAGGAGACATGGTCTGGACGGAATCAACATCGACTGGCAGTACCCCACGGCTGGAGACAGAGGTAGCGACGTCATAGATCGGGAGAGGTTTACCAGGTTGCTGCAGGTTAGTGATCTAGAAAGCTGATGTAGCCATTCGCTCTAAAATACAGGAATGCTTTTTACCATTTCACTCATCCTTTGGGTGTCATCAATATCGTCAAAAAAAAAGAGTAATTTGAACGGCAGCTCTAATTTTGGGAATAGACAATAATCACAGGGAGACAAATTTGGCGAATAGGGTGGATGGTTGGGACACACTTATTTTTTGGGGCCACACATTCTTGTACAACTACCGCCCGGTGACCCTTTGCATTGTCAAGAAGAGGGAAAAAACTGCTGGGTGTTAAATACTTGGGTTGAATTCGAAGAATCCTTTACAACACACATTAAAAAAAAAAAAAAACTCAAATAAGCTGTGGCTGTGACAGTCTGTCCCTCTGGAATAAATTCTTTGTGAATAACTCATTTGCTGTCGAAGAAGCACACCAACATTGTCCTCACTTTCAACTTCTTAAGACGCAATTCCCCCCCCCCCCCTTTTTTTTGTGTGTGTGTGGTGACAATGATGACTTCTAATGAGCACTTTGGCGTTTAGTTGTGGGGTCATAGCGGAAAATTAATGTTTCATCCTCTGCAACAATCAAATTTAAGATTTATATCTGACAGGATTTTATGATGTCTTTTGCGTACTCAAAACGCTGATGTTTTTGGTCATCAGACAACGATTGTGGTACAAACCAGCACGCAATTTTTTTTCTTGCCTAAATCTTGCACCAGAATTTTACGAATGATCAATCTATTAACCTCAAATTGGAACTGGATTTCAACTGTGAGATACCATCTAAAGAGAAAATTAGAAAAGTTATCAATCTTCGCAAGGAAGGAAAAGCGGCAGGTCAAGATGGTATCCCAGCTGAAGCCATTAGGGCCAATATAAAAGCATCAACAGAATTGCTACATAGATAATTTCGTAATCTATCTATCTATCTCTTTATCTGTCTGTCTGTGTGACTGTCTGACTGTTTATCTATCTATCTATCTATCTATCTATCTATCTATCTATCTATCTATCTATCTATCTATCTATCTATCTATCTATCTATCTATCTATCTATCTATCTATCTATCTATCTATCTATCTATCTATCTATCTATCTATCTATCTATCTATCTATCTATCTATCTATCTATCTATCTATCTATCTATCTATCTATCTATCTATCTATCTATCTATCTATCTATCTATCTATCTATCTATCTATCTATCTATCTATCTATCTATCTATCTATCTATCTATCTATCTATCTATCTATCTATCTATCTATCTATCTATCTATCTATCTATCTATCTATCTATCTATCTATCTATCTATCTATCTATCTATCTATCTATCTATCTATCTATCTATCTATCTATCTATCTATCTATCTATCTATCTATCTATCTATCTATCTATCTATCTATCTATCTATCTATCTATCTATCTATCTATCTATCTATCTATCTATCTATCTATCTATCTATCTATCTATCTATCTATCTATCTATCTATCTATCTATCTATCTATCTATCTATCTATCTATCTATCTATCTATCTATCTATCTATCTATCTATCTATCTATCTATCTATCTATCTATCTATCTATCTATCTATCTATCTATCTATCTATCTATCTATCTATCTATCTATCTATCTATCTATCTATCTATCTATCTATCTATCTATCTATCTATCTATCTATCTATCTATCTATCTATCTATCTATCTATCTATCTATCTATCTATCTATCTATCTATCTATCTATCTATCTATCTATCTATCTATCTATCTATCTATCTATCTATCTATCTATCTATCTATCTATCTATCTATCTATCTATCTATCTATCTATCTATCTATCTATCTATCTATCTATCTATCTATCTATCTATCTATCTATCTATCTATCTATCTATCTATCTATCTATCTATCTATCTATCTATCTATCTATCTATCTATCTATCTATCTATCTATCTATCTATCTATCTATCTATCTATCTATCTATCTATATCTATCTATCTATCTATCTATCTATCTATCTATCTATCTATCTATCCATCTGTTTTCTGATTATCTGTCTGTCTGTTTGTCTGTCTGTATGTCCAAGTGTCCTTCCGCCCGTCTGTCTGTATGTATGTTGGTGGTGTATCATTTTCTCTGCATACCTGAGTGCTTGCCTACCTGCTTGTCAGTCTATCTGTCTGTCTAAATGTCTGCCTTTTTGTCTTTCTGTCAATATGCTTTTGAAAAGCGGAACAATATGTGTACATCTTGTAGTTATTAGTTCTTCCCTGTCCCAACCACCAGGTTGTACAGCAAGGGTTTAGAGCAGAATCGGTCATCTCTGGACGAGCCAAACTGTCTCTGTCTGCGACCCTGGAAACAGACATCAGGGACGCGGGAAACTACTACCAGATATCGGAAATTGGCAAGTAAGTGCAGCCACACTACACCACACATTTGGGCTCGGGTGCCGTTTGAGTGGTTGGTTGGTTTTTGGTTGGCTGGTTGATTTGGTGGCTGGTTGTCTGAGTAGTTGGTTGTTTGGGTGGCTGGTTGTTTGAGCAGTTGGTTGTTTGGGTGGCTGGTTGTTTGAGTAGTTGGTTGTTTGGGTGGCTGGTTGTTTGAGCGGTTGGTTGTTTGGGTGGCTGGTTGTTTGAGTAGTTGGTTGTTTGGGTGGCTGGTTGTTTGAGCAGTTGGTTGTTTGGGTGGCTGGTTGTTTGAGTAGTTGGTTGTTTGGGTGGCTGGTTGTTTGAGCGGTTGGTTGTTTGGGTGGCCGGTTGTTTGAGTAGTTGGTTGTTTGGGTGGCTGGTTGTTTAAGCGGTTGGTTGTTTGGGTGGCTGGTTGTTTGAGTAGTTGGTTGTTTGGGTGGCTGGTTGTTTGAGCGGTTGGTTGTTTGGGTGACTGGTTGTTTGAGTAGTTGGTTGTTTGGGTGGCTGGTTGTTTGAGCAGTTGGTTGTTTGGGTGGCTGGTTGTTTTGGTGGCTAGCTGTTTGAGCGGTTGGTCGGCTGCTTGGGTGGCTTGCTGTCTGGCTGGTTGGTTGTTTGTGTGGCTGGTTATTTGAGCGGTTGGTGGGTTGTTTGGGTGGCTGGCTGTCTGAGCGGTTGGTTGTTCAGGTGGCTGGCTGTGTGAGCGGTTGATTGTTTGTTTGTCACCCGTTGTTTAGCTGGCTGCTTGGTGTGCTGTTTAGTAGGCTGGTTGTCAGGTTGGGTTTGATGGTTCGTTGGTTTCGTTTGTTAGTTAATTTCCGGGATGACTGAACCGTCGATTGCTAGGCTGGCTGGTTGGTTGAAAAGCCCTGAAAGTCTTGAGCTGTAAAACTTGAGTCCACATAGTTTACTTCTATCTCAGATTTGCAAACGGCGTGCAACTTCAGGGGTGAGTCTAGTGTAGCTATTTCTTTTGCCAAGCGTAGTTTCTGTTTATGGTTTCGCCCTCTTGTAGAGATAAATCAAATTGTTAGAAAAGACACAACAGACTCATTGATACATAGTAGAATATATTTTCATTTGATACCATGTAAATATTTGCCCCTGAGTGATTCTGAGGAGGCGTCTTTATTTGATACAATGTGAAATATATGAGTCGATATTGGACTATTAGTCGGAGACTGGACCTGAATTTAGTCAATAGTGATGGGTTAAATATCTGCCTATGACTTGGTTACTGGTTAGTTGCGTATCCTTTACAGGACGTTGCAGAAGCAACTCCAGCAGCCCCTGGCTGTTGTGTGGTTTCTCTAGGCAAATTTACGTCCAGTAGTTTGCCATTGCTTACTGGACGGTCGGTCCCCGGATACCACTGTCGAAACCAACGCAAGGCGCATGGCCCGCAACTGGGATCGAACCTGGCACACCGGCATTACGAAGCGTTCGCATCGACTTAGCCACAGAGCCGACGACTAGGTTACTTCAGTGGAAATGGGATTCAAGAGAAACCTTGTGACTAACAGTGATGAGAATGGATTCACTCCATGATGTCAAAGTGATTGCACATGCTAAAACAGAGTGGAGGAAGAGACGGCGAGTCCTATATAACATTCACTGGTACACAAGGACAGTGATGATGATGTCATTCTGTGCGTGCTAGACGATAACACTACTAGTGTTGATTGTTCTGATGAACCAACTGTATTTAAACTCTTCGCTGGCTGAAGATGGGGACAGAGCGTTTATGGGAATGCTCCAAGTACTGTGATGTCGGTTCTGGGATCAGCTCAAAGCAGCTCAGCTCACTTATGGTGGGGATATAGAATAAGATAATTTGTGCTTGTTAACATTCATGTTCAATGGATTGATTCAGGTACCTGGACTTTGCTTATCTCATGGCCTATGACATGCACGGACAGTGGGATTCCAACCTGGGAGCTCTTCATCATTCTCCTCTAGATCCAGAAATTGTAAGTTACCTAGTTCAGTAGCTTTTGAAAAATCATTTGCCTCATTGAAAATCTTTACTTCTTTAAACGCTTTTCCTCGTGTAAAACTCTTTCACTGAACATTTTTCCATATTGAAACTCTTTTCTGCACTGAAGCTGTTTTGTGGACAGTTTTTAACATTGCTGAGTCCCTTTTTAAAACGATTTTGGCTTTCAGATTGATCCCGCCTTAAATAGGTATCAGGTACAGACCTAGGAAGCAAAGGCGGCCAGCGTGATGTTAACTACATCACCCACCGAGTGCCGATTGGTCTTTAAAATATAGGTCTAGCCCTATATGCCCAATACACCTGGAGGCGTGGAAAAGGTCCTGTACTTTGGCATTTATACTAGGTGTACTTGCAGTTCACTTGACTATGTTCAGACAATCATTCGTTGGCTCTACGCCAGCTATGTGATCCTAGTTTACATACCTTTCAATGTGAAAACTGAATCGCAAGCAGAAATTGTAGAGTCGCTTGAAAAGTAATATTTCATTGTGAGCTGTAGGACCCAGTCTGTCTTGGGGTTTCTCTGAGTGTAGAGTGTCGGCCAGATCCCCTGTCACTCCCAGCTGTACCAGTTTTTCCAAACCATAATGATCTGTTGCATATTGCTCACTTCCCGCCAAAGGGCACTGGACACGTTTAGCTTGCCGTGCATCAGTCCGGCGTATTATAGGTGAGAAAAAATATCCCTGAAAATACACTTAGGTAAACTAGCTAAATCTGCACATAGGTGACACGTAGGTGATAAACAGGTGTAGTGTTGACCATATATGCTTACAATATATTGTTCTTCTGAATTAAATTCTACTAAATATATATATATATATATATATATATATATATATATATATATATATATATATATATATTTGAATAAAAAGAGAGAGAGAGAGAGAGAAAGAGAGAGACACAGAGAGAGTAAGAGAGAGAGAAAGAGAGAGAGAAACAGTAAGAGAGAGAGAAAAAGAAAGAGAGAGGGGAGAGAGAGAAAGAGGAAGAGAGAGTGAGTGAGAGTGAGAGAGAGAGAGAGAGAGAGAGAGAGAGAGAGAGAGAGAGAGAGAGAGAGAGAGAGAGAGAGAGAGAGAGAGAGAGAGAGAAATCGTTTATAGAACTAAATTCCCCGTTATTTCAACATGCAGCTCAGCGATCTAAGTTCGCAAGACCATATCTGCTTTTAGTTTTAACAGCAGAATATTTCCTTACATTGTAAATATAAACAGTTATTCAGCCCGCACCCGCAAATGTTATCCCTGCGTCCCCCATACCCCCACCCCCTTCCCACGGACAAAAGTGTCCCATTATTTCATGTGTCAATAAATCTTGGCAGATATCTTACAGTTATTATCTATACAAGCAGAGAATCAGTACCAAAATATTTTTTTTTTAGCAAAGAATGTTAAATGTTGAATGCTAAATTCGGAATTGACATCATAGCTCCCCCACCCACCCCCATAAGCGCTTATCATTATCAGTGTATATAATGCTCATTGTGACTAACCGATCCTTTCTTTGCACCTGTCTGTAGTTTTTAGAACCTACTCAGTGATTTATTCCCTTATTATATCCAGTTTCGTCCTTTTTAGGACGAATTTTTTTGTCATTTGAAGCCCTACTCTGGCTTTTGCCAGGGGCCGCAATATAGGCAGGCCATACATACGGCCAAATGTCTGAACGCGGTTTCTGGGACCTCTCCACGGCGATCCTCAACTGCATGATGGCACTTTGTGTCATCGGATGTTTATCGCTTGTGTGATGTCCTGGTGGGGTAGAAAGTCAGTCAGTCAGTCATTTATCCCCTTCAATATCGCTCATAAAATGTTCCTATTTAGCCGTTTTTTTTTTTTTTGCATCTGCTGCGCACCGCTTGAACTCTTATACTTATTCTCTTCTATCTCTTTCTACCTTCTCTCCATCCTCTTGTAACCTGTAACGTGCCTTTCGCACTTTATGTAATTGCCCAACTACTGCTCGCCATGTCTGTTCTACTTCTTGGGTCCACCACGAAGACTGCACAAAATCAGAGGAGGTGATTCTGCTGTATACTGCATACCTTCTGTCGGAGGCGTCCAAGAAGGGTACTGTCCCTCGCATACTTAGAAGTCCTGCGCGTTCTTGCAGCCTTGATCCTGCTAGCTTTAGAAATCAAGACTGAGCATGGCAAATGGTCACTCCCATGATCGCCTAAGATACTCCATTTTGTTTCCAGCTTTGTTGACTGGATAACAACAGCCAAATCAATGGCCGTGTCTGCATCACCAGATCTCATTGCCATTCTAGCTGGCCTACCTTCGTTTAAACAAACTATGTCTGCATCCACCATAGCCTCTGCTAAAGCATTTCCTTGTCTATTTTCCCCAGTAGTGTCCCATGCTCTGTTCCGCGCTTTGAAATCCCCACAAATAAGAAGCCTATTACCAGGAATTTCCTCCAACTCAATGAGCCAGTCCCAGTGTTCCTTTGTGACAAGAGATTCAACAGCAGCGTAAACATTTACTAAATTCCAGGTTGTTCTCCCATCGTCTATCTGTATACCCTAAAGTTCTAGTGTACTATGATTCCACCGGTTCAGGTCAAGAACCTCATGCTTCACCCCATTCTTCACCAGCAGAGACTGTCCATGTCTTCCGTGTCCCGTAGGATTTATATACCTAATGTACCTAGGACACTCATATCTATCTGTGTTTAATTCCTGCAGCATGATGATATCAAAGCCATAAATGAGTCCCTCCAGTACAGGTTCTCTCGACTTTGCACTACGCCAATTCTAGTTACCCACTTTAATATGATTTAATCCCAGAGGCTCCATTTCTTCTCTTTCCATTTCCTCGTCTTTTCCTCTTCCGACTTTCTTCGTTGTCACCTGAAGATGCTATCAAGCACAGAGCTCGCTTTCCGTAGCTCCATCGATGATTCTTTTTATTAGTAAATAAAAAATCCATAGAAAATATTATTTGAATGCAGGAAGTCCATATACCTAGCGCCGCCCTAGCCAGACGTTCCACGTTCATGACGGTATAAGCCACAATCATTCAGTCAATAGGCAGGTAGGTCCACCGTACGCTTAGGTTTTTTTTTTTTTTTTAGCGAGGTTATCTTCTCTATATCCTTTGTGTTTTGTGCCTTTTCGGTCACGCACAACGGTCTTGACTGTAGAAGGGTGTTCCTGATCAAGGGACTTACGACCTAAGTGTGTCCCGTTCACCCTGTAGGTACAAGTACTCATAGGACTAGACCAAGCTCTCAAGGTAGAACAGCTAATGAGCTCCACTACGCGGAAGATCAGAAATCTACAGCCCTGGATCTCTCAGATCCTTGTGTATTCAGGTGCACAATAAACATGATGTAATTTTGTGATGGTAAAATTAAGAAGAACTGCGAACTAACATTAGGGAAATGATTCTGATTATGGATATAACACATAATCATCATCATGTGGCATAACAACCGCTGATCAAAATTTACTGCAAATGTTCGTTAACTGGTGCCTACGGAAAACAAACAAATCACAATGGTATGACAGAATCATTTACTTGAAGCTTTGAGATATTATTCCTGCAGAATACAAATCCGGAGAGGAAGAATTTAGAAACGAAAACTCTAAAAAAAAAAACACGAAGGAAATACTTAGAATGATCATAATATTGGGACAGATACGGAAGGATTTGCGGGTAACATCAAAAAACAGAACATCCCTGCATGAGTTGACTGAGGATTATGCTCCAACATAAAAAAAAAAAAAACAACAGCCGAAGAAGGCCCAGGAAATGAAATAATATTGTACTGTCAGGCTAACTGTTCTGTATCTTCAGTTTCTTACTGAGGAAGATCCTCACCAGGCCGATCCAGGAAGATTCAAAATAGGTCAGCATCAGGATAAAGGCAATCATGTTAGTTAGGACAACGATTCCACAGACTATGACCACAATGCTAATATCACTGATGTAGTAGAGCCTCTCTTGTTTCTGGAAGTTTATGTACAGGAGGCAGGGTTGGATCAGGTATGATAGGTAGGTCAGCCGACCTAGAAATAAACGGCGACCAGGACAAGAAGCTGTTTGTTTATGAAGGCTGCGTAACCCTAGGTGCAGGCAACGATGACGTAGAGAGAACAGGTTTCTTAGGTCGATCTGACCATGGCGTTGTAAAATGCGGTCACCCCGCACCCTTCCTACAGTTTCTCCACGACAGATGTCGCCTCGGAGGCCGTAAACAGCTGCCAAAGTTGTGATCGTTGTGGTCATCCAGTCCAGATCAAATACAGCCCATCTCACTCTGATATTTTAGCAAAGGCGCCACAACACACAAATCTGTCCGCTTTATTCTGTCTTAGCCTACCTGCTTAAGCTAACTGGGTAATGTGTTATTAAAGAAATGAAAGAGACAGCTAGCATACCGCAGTTTGAAGTTAATGTAATGTATTGGATAGAAGGAAGTTTTTATAGAATTATCTAGAAAATAAGTCAGTCCATTAGTGTGAGATTTTGACCAGCAAATTTTCTTGAGCACACCTATTCAATTCTTTTCCGCTCTCTCTCTCTCTCTCTCTCTCTCTCTCTCTCTCTCTCTCTCTCTCTCTCTCTCTCTCTCACACACACACACACTAACGTTCTTTCTTCCCCTATTTCCCATCTTCCATTTTTCTCCATTTCCCTTCAATTCTACCATTCCCCACCCTCTTCTATATTTCCTGTCTTGTCCGCTCTTCCTCTTCTATCCAGCTTTCTTCTGTCTCCCCACCCTTTCTATCTTTACCCTCTCCTTCCTAACATTCCCTATCCATATCACATTCTTCAGTTTTATTTGTCTCAACATTCTCATTCTCTCTCTTTGCGCCTCCCCATCTCCCTCTCTCTCTCTCTCTCTCTCTCTCTCTTTCTCTCTCTCTCTCACACACACACACCACTCCTTTTTCTTACCTGTCTTCTGAGACCTCTCCCCCTCCCCCTCCCCCCAAACCCACTTTCAAATCTCCCC